CTTTCCGTTGAGATCAATGCTGCTGCGTCTGTTGTTTGGGTCAGCGCCAGAACGAGGAGAAGCAGCAGCAGCTGCTGCAGCTACAGCGAGAAGAAGCAGCGCTTCATGAGCGCCTAGATTCAGAGTCGGCAACAGCAACAAAGCTGAGAGACACACTTTCTGCAGCGCACCAGACGGTTCAGCAGCAGAGACAACAGCTGCTGCTGCTGCAACAGGCATGCATGAGGGGAGGGGAAAGGATCGATGAGGAGCTTCTGAAACGGACGCACTTAGAGAAACCTGCACTGGGAGAAGCAACAGATGTTGCTGCAGTTTGTCCTGCTCCTGAGGCTGCAGGAGATCAATCTCCTCCGTCGCTTGTTGAAAATACGAAGACCGAACACCTACCCGAAGCAGTTGAAGCAGATGTACAGGCCGTGGATGGGACGGCGAAGAATAGCGTGCAGCCGATAGGCGCAGTGTTGCTGCAAAAACTGCCGCTGGAAGCGCTGGATCCCCATAAGAGCATGGATAAACAGGTGCAGCAACAGCCGGACAGTTCGGAGCCACCTAAGCAAAGCCGCCAGAGTAGCGCCGATACATGTGACACTGAACTGCTTGCAGATGGCAACAACAACAGCTGCAGCCTCCAAGCTGTGCACGAAGAGCTGTGCAGCAGCAGAAGCAGCAGAAGCAGCAGAAGCAGCAGCAGCAGCAGCTCTGTCAGAACGAGCAGCGCAGGAAGCGACAGCAGCAACTGCAGTGATCGCAGTAACGACAAGGGCAAAAGCTCTTTTAGCTTCTTCCACCAGAAGGCTAAATCTAGAGGCAGCGAAAGCAACTGCAGCACGGACGAGCACCAGCAGCAGCTACTGCAACCTGGAGACACACCTCGATTCGGTCCAGCAGCANCTGCAGCACGGACGAGCACCAGCAGCAGCTACTGCAACCTGGAGACACACCTCGATTCGGTCCAGCAGCACACCTGATGCAGAAATTGGCTAGTTCCGGTCGTTCAGACGACAACCAGCGAGAGCTGCCGCATAGGGAGGAACTGAATGAAGCATCATCAGGAAGCACGCACATGGAGAGCAATGGAGGCAACCAGCTAGCGGCGCTGCAGCAGGAGTTGAGTGGACTTCGTAGCTCGACTTTTGTAGCTAAAAGGCGCTTGAGGCAGCTTCAGCAGGAGAGGCAGAACGTGAGACCTGTTCTGGTCCACAAACAATAAAGTTATTGCTTTTCGGCGCAGGAACCCACGCATTCCATGCGGCAGCACTGTTGGTGTCTCAAAACCTAGCACACATCTCCGTAGCAGCGTGAATGGAATCGCACAAGCTTGTAGCAGTACTCATTCTACAAAGGCCAAACTGTCGGCAAGTTTTGCAGGAAGCCTGTTGAAGCCTCGCTTCATGATCCGAATGAGCTGCAAGCGCGTCTATGGCACAACGAAAAACGAGGATCGCTTTGAAAAACGAGGATGTTCATAAATCCAAACGAACCTAAAGTTGTTTTAGAAGGCAAATCGCTAGGGATTCGACAGTTGAAGCACAGTTTCTTGGAAGGCCAATGCAATCATTGTCATTGATTGTATTTGTCTGCAGGTGAGGCAACAGCGCCGAAGTATNCTTGGAAGGCCAATGCAATCATTGTCATTGATTGTATTTGTCTGCAGGTGAGGCAACAGCGCCGAAGTATTGAGAGGCAACAGCAGCAGCGGCAGCAAGAAGAGGCTGAAGCATATGAGCTACTGGCGCAACAGTCCTGCTGTTGTGAAATAGCATATCAAGACCTCCTACAACAAAGCTCCCGGTTTGCTTCTGCTCTCAGAAACAAGCAAAAGCTTGAGGCGGCCGCTGCTGCCTTGGCTGCCACGGGGGAGCCTGCATTCGCAGCAACAGAAGGCGCGGCGGCAGCAGCAGCAGCACGAGCTGATGACGCAGAACATGGTCACTTTGGTTGTTTTATTGCCTCTGCGCAAGACTCGGAAAAGGAAGAGGCACTGCGAGTCCTACTAGCCGCAGCAGGCAGGAACAAGGTGCGCGCTGCAATTCAGTATTGGACGAGGGAAGCGAGCAGGTGAGCCTATTTCTGCCGCCGGACTCCTCTAGCTGCCTTCTAACAGGAGCTTCCCACTGACTGGGATGTGCAGCAGCTTCCAGAGCGGCTGCTGTCCCTCTTAGCTGCTTAACATGTTAATGGAACGCTGCTTCTTGCTGTTGTATATGCTGCAGCGCCAAGTGGATACTCCAGCGAGCACATGCAGAGAGGGATACAGCAGCAAACACCAGACAGGATGCCCAGAAACAGTTGCAGCAGCTGCAGCAACGAGCAGATGCAGAAAGGCTGCAGCTGCAACAGCTGGAGCAGGAAGAACTTGCACTCCAGTCGGCGGAGACGCAATGTAGGGACGAACTGCGGTGTCTAGCCAACAGGGAACAGCAGCTGCTGCTGCAATCCAGCCAGGGAAGCAACAGCCGCAGCAGCAGAGACCGCAGTAGAGTGCCTCTCTTCAGTGAACGCACACTTGGTTCCAACCACAGCTGGAGCAGCAGCAAGCACAAATCAGGCGGCAATCGTAGTGCTTCAGCAGAGCCGGTTGACCGTAGCTGCTGCAGCAGAGCGAATGGTAGTGCACTCCCTTCGTGCCTTTCCTCCACTTCTGCTCCTTGTGAAGCAGAGAGTAGTAGCAGCCGCAGCAGAAGCCTGAGGGCTCTTGAGTCCCTCGAAAGACTGTTGCAGCAGCACAACATGTTGCCCTTGTCCCCTTCGCTGATGCGTGGAGATGCAGACGTATCAGCAACAGCAGCAGAGGTCGCGGGTCCTGAAAATTCTCGCAGCAAAAGTTGCTCTTTCTGGGTGCAGCTCGAGGAGAACGCGGGTCTCTAGATTTGTCTGCTGCAATCACAGNCCAGACCCTTGAAACGCGTGTGCTGTGTGTCTTAGTATATGCACACACGGGCTGATTTGCAGTTCAGTTGCAGTAGAAACGACAGTTGCGCAGCAATATCACCCCACTGGTAACCACAGAAGCAGTGGCTTCAAGAGTTGCAGCAGATGCAACTGCAGACATAACTTAGACTGTCTCAGCAGTCTTATCAATCTTCCGTTGCGATCCGCTACAGTGCCTTTCTAAGGTACTGAGAAGCAAACGAACCAAAGCCACTCGGGCTCTGGCCTCCCTGCCTAATGGCTGATGTTGCGGCCCTTTGTTATAATCTTGTTGCCGTTGCTCTTCTTCCTGTGGTTGAACCTGGTGTTGCTGCTGCTCCTGGCTGGGTAACAGGCCTGTCGTTGTAGCAGCTGTCAATATAAAGTTCACCAAGGAGCTTTGCCTCCGAGATTGTGCTGCCGCCGCTGTTTCTTCTGCTTGTAGCTGCGGCGTCACAGGCTCCGCTGCAGTAGTTGTTAGGCTCTCAGTTGCAGTTGCAGCTTGCGCGTTTGCATTGAAACTTGCAGCGGCAGCAGCTGCTGCAGCAAGTAGCCTCTGGTGCGGAGTCATCATGAGACTATCCAAATCGACAAAGGGCAGGGAGGGAGCAGGGAGTGACGGCATTATTGGTGGGTGCAGCGCCGGTCTCAGGGGCAGAAAGGGCTGCAGCAACTTGGGCTTGATAAGTTCAAGCGGTTTGCCTATAGGGTTCGTATTTATCTGCTGGAGCACCTGCTGCAGCTGTAGCAGCAGCCGAGGCTGTAGCGAAAAACTTTGCTGCTGATGCAGCAATCTAAAGTCCTTGGGGACATCTGGCGGGGCCTCTAGGCATGGCTGCGGCAACAGTGAGAGCACCTCTGTGTCTGTCTGCAGGGTGTACTTGCTTATTGCGGCTGCTGCTTCTCCTGCAGTTGGCTGAAGCTGTTGCAGAGATACTCGACCCAGAAGCAGCTGCAGAATTAGGCGGACTAATTCCGCATTGTTGTAAAGACTCAAGTACGGGTCTTGCAGCAGCTTGCTACTGCCAGCAGCGACAACAACCCCCCCACCAGCAGCGGCAGCAGCACCAATTAGCGGGCGTTGAGAAGGGCTGCAACAGTTGCTGCTGCATAGCAGTGGTACGGCAGGAGCTTGAACATAGACCGTGGATCCGTAAGGGTAGACAAATACATTGCCGCCGCTGTCATTGCCATTGCCGGTACCGCCCCGCTGCTGGAGTTGCTGTTGCTTCATTTCGTTTTGTATCTTCCCTCCTACTAGCTGCGGTTGCTGGAGCACCACCTCTCTCGGGTGGTAGACGCCGCGTTGTTGCTGCTGAAGTGTTGGGGGAACAACAGCAACAACAGAGTCGGCAGCAAGTGAAAGGCCCATTTCCTCAAGCAAGAAGTTCACATTGCTGCTGCTGCTGTTGCTCCCACCTAGTACAAGAATGCTGCGGACCTGCCGCACACTTGCGGTAGTTGTTGCAGCAGTGGGGAAGCCATCAGTATTTCCTGCTGTTTTCCTTACTGTAAAATCCTGTTCTCCCGCGGTGTGCGCTTTCTCAGCACCCGCGGCAACATGAGTGTCGTTGGTGGCAGCCGACGTAGCTGCACCTGTCGTAGCAGCATTTTGAGGCACAGCGGCTGCAGTCGCATCCGAAACATACGCAGCCGATACATGCCTTGCGTGCGTTGCTGCATCAGTTTGGGGTGCTTGGAGAAATAGTTTCAGGGACAGGAGCTCGTCGGCTGTGAAAGGCTTGATTGGATTGCCCATAATGAGAAGGGAGACCCTGTGGCGCTGCAGCCTCTCTAGACTGAGTAGAGATCGGTTAACGACACA